CATTGGAGTCCTCTGACTTCAAGGAGAAGTCCCATCTCTGGACTATTTCTGACATAGATGGTGCATTTTTGAATCACCTTTTGAAGAGTCCTCTACATACCCGGCTCAGTAATATATTTTTGTATCCATTGGAGTGTGGCATCCCGTGCATAATGAGTACTCTGGTAGATAGAGTTGACTGTTTCTTCCATTAGGTGTTTAGAATTATTCTGCTTCTGCTTATCCGTGCATCTTTCTGGTGAGTGGTGAAGCCCCACTTTTTTGCTTATTCTAGGTCTTCTAAAGAATGTGCAGGCTGGGCTAGTTTTAAGTCAGTGTCAGGAATATGCCACCGGGGGATATCGGGACGTTTGTTCAGGCCACCAGCTTAGAAGCCGAGTCTGCTTTATTGTTCCCTTGAAAGATTAAGCCGCCTGTCTTCTGATGGCTGAGACGATGAATGATAGCAATCTCCTGAGGTTCCATAACTGCTTGCAGGAGATTTAATATCTCTTGGGTATGTTTAATTTCTTTACCTCCTGATGTTAAGAGCTGTCTTTCCAAATAGCCCTTTAGGTGTTTACCATGGTAAATGCATATTTGGAGTCAGTGTAGACGTTGACTCTCTTAGCTTTTCTAGGTGCAAGACTGAGGTCAGGGCCAGTAAGTCAGCCTTCTGGGCTGAAGTACCTGTGGTCTTTCAGAGGGTGTTGTTTTAGATGAGGGATGGTTGCTCCTACTCATAATCGTATTTGGATTGCGGTGGCTCTTTTTGCCTTTCCGGGTTTGCCCTTTGCCCATACTTTCAGACTTAACTTCTTGCAGGATTTCTTTGGGAACCTCAGCCAGAACTTCCTTCTTGGGTAAAGCCAGCAATGTGGCCTATAAAGCACAAGCTTCTTTCTGGAGGTCCCTTAATATCAGTATGGCTTGGGGGCAAAGGTATTTTGGCATTTAGTTCAGTTTCATCCTAAAAGTGGCACTGGGCTTTCTGGCATATACGAGAAGCTATGTTTAAGATTTGTTTTTTTCCATTTGGCAATCTAATGGCTGGAGAAGTGGCTTGTATAGTGACTCTTCTGACGCTCCAGGACTGAGCATTGTTTTGGAGTTTACTCAGTCTAGTATTTAATACAGAATATGTGGCCTCAATGTCACTCAAAGAGTCAATTAATTTCTTTCCCCCATTAGAGGGACCCTGGGTTCTATGTGAGTGATGTTGAAGGGGCCAATTGAGTTGATTGGAACCCCCGGACCCCCGGGATAATTAGGGCGTCTGTAACACTTCTCTTTCCTCTTTGTCCTGTTCGTTGTTTAGACTTTGGGCAGTCTTTGTTCCAATGACCCTCTCTTCCTTGTAGTAATCACATTGTTTAGGGTCTACTTTTGGTGCAGGTCCAGTGCTCCAGAGTACCTTACCTTGTTTCTTGTCTTCTTAGGCCCTCTGGTGGTCAGAGCAGCAGCTAGCAAGTCAGCCCGTTGCTTCATCTTTTGTTGTTTTTTTTTTTTATCAGGCTTTGTCTCTGCTATTGAAAACCTTAAAAGCAATCTCCGTCAGCTAAGATAGAGACATTCCGAAGGCGCTGTCAACCATTCGAAGCTTTCTTTGGACATCAGGGACATTTTGCCCAATAAGTCATGTTAAGGGCCTTTACATTTTCAGGGGCCTTTGAGTCCACATAAGTGTATCGGCGATAAGCCTCAAAAGTACATTCTACGAATTCAGACAGGTTTTCATCTGGACACTGCTTTAGTTGCTGGACCTTACTAAAACCTTTTTGTTTGGGCACTCCCTTCCTTCACCTAAGCCGAATGCAATTGAATGTTCAAGCTTGGGCGGATCCTCATTGTTTATATACCAGCGTGGGGTAACCGTTGCAGCTTCAGTTCGCACAGGGTTTTGGGGTGTGTCATTGTTACTGGCACTGGGGTTCTTGGATTTCCAAGCTAGAAATCTAGAGAAAACCCCAGAAAATTTTCCAGACAAATTTTATTAAGCTTATGCTCAGCACAAGGGAGGCAGCACTGAGGATAGGAAGGTCCTGCGAACTGACTCGTGTGATGGCTCTGCTTGGCAGCTTTTGTAAGCTGGGGACCAAGTGAATTTGTGCGAAAAGGTGAGTTTTTTTTGAAAGTGAGATTTCTTAACAGCTATGTTGCCGGTAACGGTGTTCGCGCCTCCGCTTTGGGGGCAAGATGGTGAACTGCTCCTCTTACAGGGGTCAAACCTAATCACCTGCGCATGCGAAACATTGGTTCGACACCTGAAAGTTAGAAGGGAGATTATAATTGGCTACTTCTGCACTTTTGTGTAAGGAGTGAGGGGGTGGTGGCATTCTGGG